TTTTCCTGCCCTCTCCCGCTCACCCCTCATCTCTGCTTGTTTTGTGTTTTTGCTTTTTGTTTGGTTTTTTTTTTTTTCATTTTTTTTTTTCCTCCCCCCCCGCCCCGATCCAGACGTGCCTGCTCATGCGCCAGCAACACGAAGCTGCCGCCTTGAACGCGGTGCAGAGGATGGAGTGGCAGCTGAAGGTGCAGGAGCTGGACCCCGCGGGGCACAAATCCCTCTGCGTGAACGAGGTGCCCTCGTTCTATGTGCCAATGGTCGACGTGAACGATGACTTTGTGCTCTTGCCGGCATGACAGCTCAAAACCAGGAGACATCACTGAAAACTGGCAAGGACGGGAGCCCTCCGAGGTCGGGCGGTCGAGCTCACATTCACCCTTACCGCTTGCTGATGAATCCCTGGTCAGAGGAGGAGGAAGCAGCTATCGGCAGAAAACAAAACAATAAGAAAAATAATTGCACTTTCTTCACAACGCGTCCCTCGCTTCCGGACTGACGGCAGCTCCGCCGGGCAGCGGGCCGGGGCGCGTCTCCTTCCCACGCGGCTGCCGCGGCGGGGAGGCGGCCGGGCTGCGCGGGCAGCGAGCGCTCACCGGCCGAGAGACTGGCGGAGGGAGGAGGCCAAGGACACCACTCGTGTGTGGCAGGAGCTGCTGAGCGGGGCCAGCAACCACGTGATCCATGTACACCGTGATTTCCAGCGCTCTGTTTTCCACCGGTCGGGGATCTCCTCTCGGAGAAGCTGCAGTAGGAAACCATGGGGGGAGGGAGGGAGGGAGGGAGGGAGGGGGGGGGGGGGGTGTTTGAGTTTCTCGTTCCATCCTGGGTATGTCTTAAAAAAAAAAAAAAAAAAAAAAAAAAAGAAAGAAAAAAAGAAAGAAAAAAAAAAACCTTTAAAAAAAAAAAAAAACACCAAAACAAAAACCACAAAAATACAACAAAACAAAAAAAAAAAAAAAAAAAAAAAAAAACAACAAAACCAATTAGAAACAAAAAAGACAGCGTCCAAGTCGGGCAGACGCGGCTCTGGGGTGTGGGCGGAGGCGGGGTGCGCCCCCCGCGCCCCCCAGCAGAGGAGCCACCTGCGCTCCGGGCGGCCGGCGGCGGGCGGGGAGGTGGCGACGCAGAGAAAGGACTTTGCCAACTGTGTTTTTAATGGAGTAAAATCCATGTGGTTTATATATTTTTTTTTTTCCTTTAATCTTGGGCATTTCGTTTCTCTTTCTGAGAACATAACTTGAAAACACTACAGAGCCAATACTCATATAAAGAAAAATTGTATCCCATAAATGCTGTACAGTTTTTATATACATTAACAATGTACTTTTGCTGCCTTCTAGATAATTTATTTTGCAACACATTACTGCACAGTTGTAAATAACTTATGTACTGTAACATCACTTTCAGTTATGTGTAAAGAAATAAATAAATTAATTAAAATTACCTTTGTACGTATAGTTCACCCCGGGCAGCACTTTCCCTGTCGGGACCAAAATAAGGGCCGGGCCGACGTGCAGCGGCGCGTGGAAGCCCCTGATGGGCGCAGGGACACGGGGGTGGGCTGGGCGCTCCGGGGGGGCTGACTTTTATTTTTAACACCACGACGTTTCGCTCCCCTTTCCCCTGCCCCTCGGCCTTCGGTGGGACGGGGAGCGCCGTGAGCCAGAGTGATGTGAAGGGTATTTGGCCTCGTTTTTTTTACAGACCCCCCACAGCGGCTGCGAGTCGAGGAGCTGATGGTTTTGAGGCTGCAAAGCTTTGGGGAAGGGACCCTTGGAGCCCGGGGGGGGGGGGGGTTGCAGGTTGTGCTGGGGCCTCGGGATTTGCGGGATGGAGCGTGGCCGGCGGGGCGGGCAGGGACGTGGCTTCCCAGCAGCCGCCCCGTCCCCATCTTTTTCATACCGACCCCCCCGCCCGCTTCGCCCCGAAAGGGGCTGCGTGGATCACTGCCGCCCCCTTGGCCGAGCTCGCCCCTGGCTCGTGGGGCTGCTGCAACACACCCACACCCACACACACCCCCCCCACGCAACGCCCTCGCGTTCGCCCGCCTGGCCCGAACCGCTTCTCCGGGCTGTAAAAGCTCAGCGGAGGCCGATCCTCGCCGAGGGTGGGGGCAGCCCCGGCTCGCAGAGCCCGGCGCAGGCTGTAAATAAAAATAAAAATAAAAATAAAAATAAAAATAAAAATAAAAATAAAAATAAAAATAAAATAAAAATAAAAATAAAAATAAAAAAAAAAACCTCCTGGGTCTGACGGGAGGAGTTGCAACCTCTCCTCTGCACCCCGGGAGAAACGGGGCGGGCGGGGGGGACACACACACACACACACACACACACGGCTTCGGCTCCCGGTTTGGGGACGCGACGTCGCGTGGATCCGCGGGGCTGCTCCGCCGTGGGAAGGAGCCGCCCGGTGGGCGATGCCCGACTTGGTTGCGCGTGGGGCGCCGGTTCCTGCCGCCGTCCTGCCGGGGCCCCGCGGGGGGGGACGGCGCTGGACGCGCAGCTCTCGGCGGAGCCCTGACCCGGCCGGGGCTTAAAACCGATCCTCGCAGCGACGGGGCTGGGAAACAGGTTCGAGCGCCTCTTTCCAAGGCCCGTGGGCTTTGCTCGCAGCTGCTGCCCGACCCTTCCCGGAGGGGGGCTGGCCCCCCACGGACACCCGCGGTCGGCGCCTGCTTCTGCTTTTTCGGCTCGGTTTCTCCGGGGGCACGTGGGGGGGTCGAACGGCTCAGCTGCCGCTTTTGGAAGGGGGGAGCTTGACAAATGCGATTCGGCTCCTCACCTCCGTGTCGGAGGGGTCCCGCTGAACTCAGGACCGCTGTTCAGCCCCGTTCACCCTCTTTTTTTGTTTGTTTGTTTGTTTGTTTTTTTTTCACCCTCTTTTTTTGTTTGTTTGTTTGTTTGTTTTTTATTTATTTTTTGGCGGCTCTTTGCTCAGCCCAGGCCCACGCGATGCTCCCCACCGAGGTGCTCTCGGCCGGGTTCGGGTTCGGGCAGCACCAACTCCCCAGCAGAAGAGCACCCACCGCCCCGGACGCCTCCGCACCCAGCTCCCCCCCCTCTGCCACCGGCTTTGCAGCCGGTTGAGGAATTTTCCACAGTCCTTGCACCCGGGACCTCGAGGGTTTTGCTCCACCTCGTCACCAGCAGCTTCCTAAGAGCCGGGGGGGGGGGGGGGGGGGGGGGGGGGCCCTGCCCGGCCCCCCAGCTCCTGCCCGTGGCTCCGTGGGCCCGTTGCCGGAGCAGGAGCCGCAGCGGGGACGGGGCCTCGCCGCGAGCAGGGCAGGACGGGCGATTTCTCCCCAAAGTGGGTTTTTTTCCCCCCATTCTCACCCACGACCACCGAGTCAGGGTGGGCGACCGGGGCTGCTTCTGCTTCAGGGGCCACGTTTGACCACTCAGGAAAGCGGCCACGAGCAACGCTTGGTTTTTACCCGATTTTCGTTAAATGACCATAATAAGCGTGGAGAGAATTTTAATCTGCCACATAAAGCAAGAAAAATCCCGTCCTCTCTCTGTGCCCCCCCCCGTGCTGGGAAGCTCAGGGGTTCCCCGGGTGCATTTTCCTCCTGGCCACGTACGTGGGTGCAGATGCCACCCGGGCCGGGTCCCACCTTCTCGTGGTGCTGCCCGGATTTGCGTGGCGGCCCGTGGGGTGACCAGCGCCGAGGCTGCCCGCTCGGGACCGCTCCCGTGTCGGGCTTTTTTACGCCGTCGTTTGCGTGCACACCGCGGCGGCACCCTCGTCCTTTCGGCCACACGACGAGGAGGAGGGAGGGGGGCCAAAAAAATACCCCCCAAAAAAAAAAAAAAAAAAAAAGGAGGGGGGAATGCGGATGTGATTTTGCAGCTGTGATTTTTCTACCGTTGCTTGGGCCGAGCCGAGCGCCAGGGCTGTGCTGCTGTCCCTCAGAGATAACGTTTGTAAATAAATTTTGAAAAAAAAAAAAAAAAAAAGATTAAAAAAAAAAAAGCTTGTTTGCAACTTGGCTGCCTCTTTGGCTCTTCCCACGGACTCGCTGCGGTGCAAGCAGGGCTCTGACCAGTTCCCTTCCTGGGGGGGCGGGGGGGGGGCAGACCCCGCCGGCCCCCCGGGAGGTTTAGGGGGACCCGGGGGCATTTGTGGGTGCTGACGGCTGGGCCCCGGCACCCCTGGCTGCACCCAGGACCCCCCAGCACCAACCCGGGGGTCCCCCAGTGCCAAGAGGGTGCCTTGGCCTGGAGCACCATGGAGAGGGGGTGAACTGGGCTGGGGAGGGGGGGTGAATGGGGCTGGAGGGGTGAACTGGGCTTAGTGGGGACCAAACTGGGGGGGGGGGGGGGGGGGGGCTGGACTGAGTTTGGGGGGGTGAACCGGGGCTGGAGGGGACAAGGTGAGTGGGAGGGAGAGGGCAAACTGGGGCTCGGGGGGTGACAAACAGGACTGGAGGGGACGAACAAGTCTGGGGGGGGCTAAACCAGGGCTTGAGGGGGGGGGTGAATGGGTGCTGGGGGGGATAAACAGAGATGGGGGGGGCTGAACGAAGCTTTAGGGGTGTGAAGTGGGGCTGGAGGGGGCAAACCGAGCTGGGGGGGGGGGGGCAGAGCAGGCTTGGGGGGGGGGCAAACCAGTGTTGGGGAGGGAGCGAACTTGTCTGGGGGGGCCTAAAGGGCGAACGGGGCTGAGGGAGTGAACCGGTCGGGGGGGTCCAAACCGGGGCTTGGGGTTGACGGGGGTGGGGGGGTTGCGACCCGGTCTGAGGGGGGGCTAAACCAGGGCTTGGGGGGGCGAACGGGGCTGGGGGGAGCAAACCGGTCGGGGGGTGGCAAAGCGGGGGGGGGGGGGGGGGGGGGGGGGGGAGAGAGGGTTGCGAACCGGTCTGGGGGGGGGGCCTGGACTGGGTTTGGGGGTGTTGACCTGGGGAAGCCGGGGGTGTAAGGAGGGCAGAGCCCGGGGCGGGGGGGCGGTCCGTGCCGGTGCTGCCCCCGCCCGCCCGAGCCCGAGCGCTGCCGGTGATGGCGGCGGGGGGGTGGCGGCCGCGGGGCCGGCGGGCGGCGGGGGGGTGGGCGCCGTGCACGGCGCTGGCGCTGGGGTGGGCGCTGGGGTGGGCGCTGGGGGCCGCCCCCCCCCACCGCTGCCGCCCCGACGCCGCGCTCCTGCCCCCCCCGCTGCGGCGCTTGGCCGGGGCCGCGCTGCTCCGCGCCGCCGTCCCGCGGCTCCGCGGCGGCTGGAGCCCCTGTCAGCTCTACCGGTACCGACCCCCCGGGCCCGGCGCCCCCCGCCCCAACGGCACCGGGCCCTGCACCCGCGGCTGGCACTACGCGCTGCCCGCCGCCGGCCTCCGCTCCAACCTCGTCACCCAGGTTTGGGGGGGGGGGGGGGCGGGGGGAGGAACACGGGACACACGGACCCCCAAGGGTTGAGGGGGGGTTGGGAAGGTTCCGGGGAAGGGGAGTGTCCAAGGTCGGGGGGATCCCTGGGGTAGGGGGGTCTGTGGTTCTGGATGGGAGCGGGGGGGGGGGGTCCCTGTGGTAAGGAAGGGGTTAAGGGGTGCGAGTGGGTGGGTGGGGTCTGTGGCTGCAGATGGGAGCGGGGGGGGGGGGGGGGGGGGGGGGGGTCCCCGCGGTAGGGAAGGGGTTAAGGGGTGCGAGTGGGGGCCTGGGGTGGGGGGGACGCTGGGCACCCCAGCAAGGGTCCCACGGGAAAGCCCTGGATGTACAGGGGGAGCACTGGGGGGGGAGGTTGCTTGGGAGGGACAAGGGATCCTGGGGACAGGAGAGGGGTCCTTGAGGCAGGGGGGGAGAAGGTGGGAGACCCCCATGGAGGGGCTTTGGGGGTGGCTGGGGGGAGCCCTGGGGTGTCGTGGGAGGGGGCCAGGGCAATAAGGTCCATCAGCTCTGTGTGTCCGACCCCCCCCTTCCAGCCCCACATTTCTGTTTGTGGGGTGGGGACCGGCCAGAATTCCGCTCCCCCCCCACCCCCCCAGGCAACTCCTGGGGATCGGGACCCCCATCTGTCCCACCCCTACGGGCAGTAGGGTGTCTGCCGGGCCCCCCCACCCCGGTGCTGATGTCTCCCCAGTGGGACCTGGTGTGTGCCGCGCGCTGGAAGGTGCCGCTGGAGCAAACCACCCACTTGCTGGGCTGGACACTGGGCAGCGTCGCCGCCGGCCTGGCCTGCGACAGGTAACCGGGGGGGGGGGGTCCCCAGGATGGCTCCCCCCTGGGAAGTGGGGGGAGGGGGAGGTCCCCGTCCCCCCAGCCCCGCTCACAGCCCGTCCCCTCCCCGGCAGGTTCGGCCGCCGGCCCGCCTTCGTGGTGTCCCTGGTGCTGGCGGTGCCCCTGGGCCTCGGCGTGGCGCTGGCCGTCAACTTTGTCATGGTGCTGGTGGCACGGCTGCTCTTCGGGGCGGCGCTGGCCGGAGCCTTCCTCTCCCTCTACGTGGCACGTGAGTTTGCCGTTGGGGGGGGGTCTGCAGTGGCGGTGGGGACCGAGGATGCTCCGGGATGCGGGATGCTCCGGGATGCAGGATGCTCCGAGGTGTAGGATGCTCCCGGATGCAGGATGCTCTAGGGCGCAGGATGCCCTGCGGCTGTGGCACCCACGGTTGCCCCCCCCTTTCCTCCCTCCCCCCCCCCACCTCGCTTTGGCAGGTTTGGAGCTCTGCGACCCCCCGCATCGCCTGGGGGTGACGATGGTGGCCGGCTTCTTCTGGATCGCCGGGGAGCTGCTGCTGCCGGGACTGGCGGTGCTGTGCCGGGACTGGCGGGTGCTGCAGGGTGCTGTCACCATGATCCTGGCTCTGCTGGCTGCCTGCTGGTGGTAAGAAACCCCCCCCCCCCGCCTCGCCCCATGGCTGGGGTGGGGCTGTATGCGTGGGGAGGGGGCTGCTGCCTGCAGTGGGGCTGTGCTGTGCCCCGGGCGCTGGCACCGAGCACCCCAGCCCAGCACACCCCGCCCGGGGCCGCGGTGCGGGATCCAAGGCTGCGCGGGGGCTCTTCAGGTGGAGCACAAGGACCCCCCCACACACACACCACCACCACCCTGGGTAAATATTTGCTCGGGTTTGAAGTTGAGGGTTTCTGGGCAGCGTTGCTTTGAAGCTGAGAAGGTGAGGGGAGCGTGGGGGGGGGCCTCCCGGGAGCCCCGTGACACCCACACTCGTGCCCCAGGTGCCCGGCGCTGCTGCTGGAGTCACCGCGCTGGCTGCTGGCCACGCGGCAGCCGGAGCGGGCCAGGAAGACCCTGCAGGCACTGGCCGAAAGCGGTGGTCCCGGCTCTGACGACAGCCCCAGCCTCCAAGAGAGCCTCCGCGAGGGTGCGTGGCCCCCTCCCCCAAACCCGCGGTGTTGGGGGGGGCGGCGGGACGGCTCTAACCGGGGTCCCCCTGTCCCGGCAGAGCTGGAGTCCCTCTCCGAGGGGTCCCCGCAGCCCCGCTACCACGTCGTCTGCGAGATTTTCGGCACCAGGGTCATCTGGAAGAACGGAGTCATCCTCGGCTTCGCGGCGTGAGCAGGCGGGGCGGGTGGTGGGGTGGGAAGCGGGGGGGTGTTTCCCGCTCAGAGCCCCCCCTTGACCCAGCTCTCCCGCAGGTTCATCGGCTCCGGTATCCGCCACTGCTTCACCCGCAACCTGGCCCCCCACCTGCCCCACTTCTTCTCCTCCTACTTCGTGCTGGTGGGCACCGAGGCGGCCGCCTGCCTCTTCGTCTGCCTGACGGCCGAGCGCTTCGGGCGCCGCGCCGTCCTCCTGCTCTGCACCGTCCTCACCGGCATCTCCTCCCTCCTGCTGCTGGCCCTCACCCAGTGTAAGGGCGGTGCCGGGGACCCCCGCCCTCCCTGCAGCGGGGTGCAGGGGAGGGGATAACGGGATGCTTGGGGCCGGCGGGGGGGTATGCGCAGGATTTGCCCCCTGATGGTGCTTTCCCCTCGCCCCAGACCTGCTGGATCTCGTTGTCCTGACCCTCTCGGTGGTGGGCATCACCGCCTCCCACGCCGTCACCACGCTCAGCATCTTCTTCGCCAGCGAGGTCCTCCCCACCGTGGTCAGGTAAAGGGGGGGGGGACGGGGACACGGACCCACCACCCTCCCGCCCTGCTACCTTGCGACTGGGGGGACACCCAAGCAGGGTCCCCCCAGCCCCCCCCCACTCTGAGCTCCTTTTCCTCCCCCCCCTCCCCGCAGGGGTGCCGGGCTGGGCCTCGTGGTGGGGGCCAGTTTCGTGGGCAAGGCGGCCGCCCCCATCACCGCCATCCCCAACAGCCGCGGCTTCTTCCTGCACCACGTCGTCTTCGCCTCCTTCGCCATCCTCGCCGTCCTCAGCCTCATGCTGCTGCCGGAGAGCCAGGGCCGCAGCCTGCCCCAGTCCCTGCGGGACGGCGAGAGCCAGCGCCGGCCCCCCCTCTTCCACCGACCCCCCCGCGAGGACCACCTGCCCCTGCTCGCCCCCCACGCCATCCCCCACGACTACTCTCACCTCGCCGCTTCCACCAAGACGATGCTGGGCTCCCCGGCCCCCTCCCTGTGAAATGTAGCTGTGCACCCCACCCCCCCCAGGGTCTCCCTGCTGCTGGGGGGGGGCGCTGAGCACAATGCTGGCCCCCCCACACACACACCGTAGAGCACTGGATCCTTGGGTGCTCACAGGGACGGCGGGGTGCAACCAGGACACGGGTGAAGGCTGGAGGGGAGGAGGGGGTCGAGGGAGGCAGCGCACCCACCCCCACGCTGGGGCCAGATCCTGCCCCAGGAGGAGCTGTGCTGGGAGTCCTGGGGCGGGGGTGATGGCCCCCCCCCCCCCCCCCCCCCCGCCGTAGGGGTGTTTTTGGCGGGCGGTCGCAGGCTGCCAATAAAAGTGCCTTGTTTCTACAGGCGGCTGGCGCGGTCGGGGGCCCCGCACGGCACCCCCACCACCGGCCCCCCCTTCTCCAAGATCTTTATTATGGAGGGGAACTGGGGGTCTCCTCGCCCCCCCTCCCAGCTCCTCAGGGTCTTTCCCCGGGGGGGGGGGGGGGGGCTGGTGTTTTCCCCCCCCTCCCAGGGCTCCCCATACTCTTGCTCTCTGCCCTCCTGGGTGTGGAGGTTCTTGGGGGGGGGGGGGAGGGGGGGGCAGGGGGAGGGGGCAGGGGCACAGACCCCTGCCCTGAAGGCCTCTCTTGTTGCACACGCGCGTGCAAAGCCCCTGGCAGCTTGTGCAAAAGATCTCCCGAGAGATGCCCATTCCCTGCCCCAGCATTTTTGGAGCGGGGGGGGGGGGGGGGTTGGGGAGGGCAGCGGGGTACCACCCCCCCCCCCCTCCTTTTTCCTTGCTACTGCCCGTAGAGGTCGGCCAGGCGCCGGAAGCGTGGCCCCCACTCGCTCAGGTAGTCGTAGTCCTGGTCCTCGTCTGTCAGGCTGGAGACGATGGAGCTGAGCGGGCTGGCGACCGACCCCGAGCCCTCGTAGTCGTAGATGAGGGCCGTGTCGTAGGGGGGCACGCTGGGGTCACTGTCGGCAGCCTCCAGCCCCTGCGGGGACGGGGAGGGGGGGGGACACACACACAGACACAGTCAGCTCCCCCCGCTGGGGATGGGGAGGTGGGTAGAGGGGGGGTGCTCAGGGGAGCGCTGGGTCCTGTCCCCAACCTCGTTGATGAAGTCCTCGATGTCGGAGGGGCCGCTGGGCAGCTTGCGGGGGGCCGGGGGGGTGGCGGAGCTGAGCGGGGCGTCCCTGCGCACGGGGGGCTTGGCCCGCGCTGAGAAGAGCTCGGGGTGCCGGAGCTGGTTGATGTCGTAAGCGTCCTGCGGGGATGGGGGTGGGGGGGGGTGGGAGGGTGGGTTCAGGGGTGCAGGGACACACACCCCCCCCCTTTGCCTCCCCGCCCTCGACCCCCCTGGGATTTCCCTCACCTGGTCCTCCTCGCCCCCGCCCTGCTCGTCGTAGTTGAGGATATTGTCGCGCATGTCGTCCCCCGAGCGCTGCAGCAGCCCCTTGCGCAGAGCCCGCCGGCGCCCCCGCGCCCGGGCAGCCCCCAGCCCCACCAGCACTGCGGGCAGAGGGTGGGTGGGCACGGGGTGGGGGGGTGGGGGGGGACAGGACTGGGAGCACATGGGCGATGGGGTGGTGGTGGGACCTGGGGCGATGGGGAGGGGATGCAGCTGGTGGGGCTGGGAGAGTGGGATGGGGATGGTGGGGAGGGATGGGGGGGTGGGCTGGGCAATGAGGGAAAGGGGGTGGGGGGGGTCTTGGTAGGGGTCCAAAGGGGTTGTTGGGGGACTGGGTGGCCAGGACCAGGATGGGGTGATGGGGGGACACGGGCAGGGAGAAGTTGGGGTGTTTTGGACCAGGATGGGGTGATGGGGGAACACGGGCAGGGAGAAGTTGGGGTGTTTTGGACCACGATGGAGTGATGGGGGACACGGGCAGGGAGAAGTTGGGGTGTTTTGGACCAGGATGGGGTGCTGGGGGACATGGGTGAGGACTGGATGGGGTTGCCAGGACCAGGATGGGGTGCTGGGTGGGGGGACGAGGTGACGAGAGGGTGCTGGTGGGGTTGGGATGGGTGGCCAGCACCCACACTGCGTGGTAGGGCACGGGGCTGGGGTGCTGGGTGGGGGTGAGGCCGGTCGGGGGGTCCCACTCACCGAGGAGGAGGATGCTGCTGCCGAGGATGATCATGAGGGCCCCGAGGGTGACACTGGCCCCGGCGGTGGCGGCGGCCAGGACACCGTCCTCGCAGGTGCCGTCCCGGCCGCAGTGGCACACCGAGATGTTCAGCAGCTCCTGCCGCTCCCGCGGGGGGGTCCCCGAGTCCCGGAGCAGCAGCGGGAGCGAGTAGGGCCCCTCGGGGAGCTCCACCAGCACGGCCAGCACCGCGTGGGTCACTGTGGGAGGGACATGGGCAAGGGGTGAGCCGGGACCCCCCCGGCCCCCCTCCCCAAGCAGCAGCCCCCTCCCTGCCAGCCCTCACCATTGAAGCGGGTGATGCTCCAGTTGCGGGCAAGCTGGGGGTGCTGGGGGCTGAGGTGGAAGTGGAAGGGGGCACCGTGGGGGGGTCGGTCAGCATCCGTAGCCCCCAGGAGCAGCTTCCCCCCGCGGCCTGGCCGCCCGCAGACCACCCCGGCCGGCGGCTGCAGCAGCGGCGCGTGGTCGTTCACCTCCAGGATCTCGATGGAGAGGGTGCCGGTGGCGGAGAGCGGGGGCTCGGCTGGGGGCACGGAGCAGAAGGGTCAAGGGAGGGGTGTGGGGGGGGGGGACGACAGCATGAGCTGGGGGGGGGGGGGGGAGGGCATGGTGGGGAGGGGCAGCTCACCGTCATCGCGGGCAAGGATCAGGGCGATGTACCAGCCACCCTGCAGGAAGGCGGAGGGGTGCAGCAGCTCCCGCTTGGTGCGGACGGTGCCGGCGTGGGGGTCCAGCTGCAGCCAGTCCGCCGGGTCGTAGAGCAGCGCGTAGCTGTGGGCAGGTTGGGGGGGTGGGGGGGTGGTCACACCCATCACACCCCACCCCCAAAATACCCACCGCAGGCTGCGAACGCCAAATACGCCGGGTGCGAGGGGCCCGGGGACTCACGTGAGGGTCTGGAGCTGGCGGGTGTCGGGGTCGCTGGCGGTGTAGGTGGTGACGGGGGTGCCCGGGGGGGCCCCCTCCAGCACGCTGACCCGCCGTGGGTTCTCGCGGAAGACGGGCGCCTCGTTCACGTCCCGCACCCGCACCCGCACGGTGGCCAGCGCCCGGGGGCTGGCGGGGGCCGCGGGCTCCAGCGGCCGCTCGTTCCGCACCGACACCGTCAGCTCGAAACGGTCCCGCACCTCGTGGTCCAGCGGCTGCCGAGAGGGGCCACGGGTCAGCCGAGCCGTGGGACACCCCCCCCCACCCCCCCAAACTCCTCCGGCTGCACCTTGGCCACGGAGAGCACGCCGTCGTTGGTGTAGGGGTCGGTGCGGATGGCGAAGGCGCCCTCGGGGTCACCCTCCAGGATGGTGAATTTGGCCAACCAGTTGGGCGAGCCGGCCAGGTCCTTGTCGTGCACGAAGACCTTGCCCACGTCCACGCCAGCCGCTTGCTCCTCCACCTCCATGGAGAACTGGGGGAGAGCGGCGTGGGGCTTGGCGGGGGGGGGGGGGGGGGCGGGTCTGCCGCTTTGGGATGCTGCTGCACCCAGGGGGGGCCGGATCCCACCCGGCTGACCCCCTCCGTGTGTCCCCCCCCCACCCCGCTGCGGCCACTGACCTCCTCCTTGGTGAACTCGGGAGGGTTGTCGTTGATGTCCTCCAGGTAGATGATGGCCGTGGCGGTGGTGGTGAGCCCGTCCCCGGACATGTCGGCTGCCTGCACCGTCAGGTTGTACACCCCCACGGTCTGTGGGGAAGGAGGGAGGGGTGGGGGGTGGTGGTACTGAGCCCCTCCAGCCCCCCCACCCCCGGGCGCCCAGAGCTCCTCCAGCTGCTGGCCACCCACCCTGTCCCCACGCTTGGGTCTGCTCATGGCTGGAGCTGTGGTTTTACCAGGTGGGGGGTGTCTCTGGCTGCCCCCCAGTCCCGGTGCTGCCTGTGTGTGTGTCCCCCCTCCCCTCCGCCACGTCCATACCTCACGGTCAAGGCCGGGCCGGGCGGTGCAGATCTCGCCGGTGGTGGCATTGATGCTGAACATGGTGGCAGCACCCTGCTCCAGGATGGAGTACCGCAGCGCCGCGTTGTCCGTGTCGGGGTCGTCGGCGTCGGTGGCATCCGCCGTCATCACGCAGGTCCCTGCGGCCACAGGAGCACCCCCCAGTTGGGTGCCGGTGGCTCAGCACCCCCCCAAAGCCAACCCCACCCCCCCATCCCCTGGCCCCACCTGGCTCAGCCCCCTCCACCACGCGCCCCGTGAAGACGTCCTGCCGGAAGAGCGGCCGGTTGTCGTTCTGGTCCACCACGATGATCTCCAGGTCGGTGGGGTCCTCCAGCGTCACGCCGCCCAGGTCCAGCGCGAAGGCTTTCAGCTGCGGGCGCAGGGCTGGGTGGGTTGGGGTCCAGCTGGGACACACACACCCACCCCCCCCGGGGAGGGGGGGTGCTGCAGGCAGCCGGGCAGCATCCTTACCCGGAATCGGTCGTTCTCCTCCCGGTCCAGCATGGCGTTGAGGAAGACCTTCCCGCTGAACTTGTCGATGGAGAAGATGCCCAGGGGCTCCTCGTCCACCCCCGGCCCCTTAATGCTGTAGATCACCCCCCCGGGCTGCTGCTTGTCAGATTTGATCTGCCCCGGGGAAAGCAGGGCTGGTGGTCCTGAGGCTTGGAGGGAGGGGGGGGGGGTGGGGGGTGGGGTCTGTCCCCCATCCTGGGGTCCCCCCTGAGCCTCCCCTCCACGTCCTGTTCCTGGGGTGCCCCTCATGCAGTCCCTCTGCCCAGGGTGCCCTCGCCCCAGCCCCACCTGGAATTGTGTGTGGGGGGGGGGGAGGGATTGCTCCCAGCCTACCTGCACCAGGAGGTGGGGGATGCGCTTGTGGTTCTCCGAAATGCTGATGGGGGGGATCACCCAAGCCCGCTTCACCCGCCGCGGACCCTCGTGCTGCCGCCAGGCCTGGGGGCTGCCCGGGGCTGCAGCACCCAGCTGGGCTGGGCTGGCACCCTGGGAGGGGGGGCGGGACACACGGTGCTGCCGGTGACCCCAAAACCTCCAGAGCAGGGGGGTCAGACCCCTCCCAGATGGGGTTGGGTCTGGGGGAGCGGAGACGCCACCCAGCTCCCCCGGGAGCTTTGTGTTGGTGGTCCCGTGACATCCTGGCGTGATGGTGACGGGTGTCTCACCGGGAGGGGGTACCCCACAACCGAGCAGCCCCACGGGACCCCCACCGTGGGGATGAAGGGGGTTACCCCGAGCTGGTGAGGGCAGAAGGGGCAGGGATTGCACAGAGCCGGGTTGCCAAGGGGGGCACAGGGAGCTGGGGGGGTTAGGATGCGTTTAGGGGCTGGGGGGGGTCAGGGAATTGGGGAGGGGTGACAGGGG